GTCGCCTTCCAGCGCAAGGAAGCTTTGATAAGACAAAAAGTAAATTCACAAAAGGGCCAGCAACCTTTAGCTGATCAGCGAGTCAGCCAGTGACAGATCAGAATTTCACAGTGATCCCTACACTGTGTGCTTGGTCAAATTAACCAGCACGATTCCAATGACAAATTACCATTTAAACCCGCGTTTAACACCTAATGTGGTAACGTGTTGGCCATAGAGCTAAACAGTCATCACTGTATTGCTGTTGAGTGATGAAGTTCCAAATGAAAACGATTTGACTGGACAGATGATATTATACCCATTTGTCACTTACTGTACATCATTCTGAACATTTTCCATTAAAGCTTCAACCTAATGCAATCTAAAATACATTTGGTGTTTACTTATCTGATGGAAGACTACAAGTTATAAATCTCAATTCAGACAAAACCATTTGATGAAAGAGCACACAGCCGTTAGAGCTCTTAAAGGGAATTGTCTCCTCATGCCCTTAACAATCTGAAAACCCCTGTTTACAATTCATTTATCCCTTACCTTTCTGGAGTTCAGTGGCCCACTATCACAAACATCAAAACAGCAGGTGGAGCCCATGCTGAATTCTAAACAGATACAGCTGTGATTTATTTAAGCTCGCAATCATTTACACAGGTTATATCACAAAGACATACAGTATGCACCTCCATAACCATTACTTCATTTCTAAATTTTGATGTATATACAGCATATAACAAGAAAGATTTACCTTTGTATGTTAGCTTGATTGCAGTAAAGAAGCAAATATTACACCGCCTTAGTTCAATCGAGATTTTAACTACAGTATATCTGAAGGAGAATTATTTCCCAAAGCACTGCGAAGTTATGAAATGTTTTCATGTTTACTACATGTTCTCAATGTGCAACGAAGATTAATTCAGCAGCTCCAGAAGGTAGAAAATACCAGTGACAACTGCTGCAGGATCATTGTAGATGCACAGTCTCACAAGAGCCACAGCATTCAGATGTTCATTGTTATGCGTTTTATAAAGATTAGTAGTTAAAAGAAGATTGATAAAAGAAAGAAAACATCACCCCCATTGCTCCAATCAAAACAGATCTACTCTCCTTTCTTCTTTTGGGTAAAGTAAGAAGCACTTCATCCTATTCATGTAAACATAAAAGCAGAGCACAACAAAAGGTTCCTTGAGGCTGGAGTGTAACAGGTGAAAATAATGAGTTCCCTATTTATCTCTTATAAAGGGGTCTATTGTTATATAGCAGGAAGAATATCATTTATACCTCAGGTACATGAAAGAGCTGGAGATAATTAATTCCTTTTTAAAAAAATTCAATTGTCTCTTATTGAGATTAGATTATGAGCACCATTTTAATGAATACTTGTTCATTTCTTGAAACCTTTTGACAAACTTTGATGTTATTGACACCACACCTTGAAGTACTTTAGTTTATTTAATGTTAAATTAGTATATCTGGTAACTACAATGTTCAGATTCTGATCTTTAAAGGTATTATTCTTACTTCCAACCCCAAAAACCATTACTATGCTTTTTCAAAATCATACATATTTCAACACAACTGAAACGTCTGAATGTGACAAACTAAAGGATATGCAATCTTTAAAAATGGAAAAATTTAAAACATAATTAATAACAATTAGTTAATGGGGCAATGGGATAAAGTATACCAACAATACTCTGGAATACATAAATACTCTTTTAAAGTACTATTATTTTGGATAAATGTCAGAAAAATATTATTTAAAATAGTTCGTTTCTGGGTCTTATCATAATTGCCAATACTGCAGGATACCTGAAATGTATTGTAAACACTGCTTTTAATGTAGTTTCCCTTAATATGACTACATGAGATTCTGAGGAGTGTCAAAACACAAACTGTATGTTATAAGACAAAAGTGTCCCACACTACAGAGCCTGGAAAGTGAGCCTTAATAACCAATGTTCATATAATTTCCTAGATCTCTTTGTGCAGACTAAAACTCAGTGACAACTCTTAAAATGATCTCAGAAGGACTCTTTAATCTGTTCCTGAGGGTTTGGGTGGTACTTATCATTGATAACTTTACAACCATCTTGCTGTGGTAAATGGGTGTTGGTGGACCAGTAGGTGTCGCTCATCTCTCCGGGCCAGAACCTCCAAACTTATTTCCCAGTATATCGGTGCTGTGCTTTTCACCAATATGTTAAACACCTGAAGTGGGTGATGCCTGGAGATCACACCACAGCCTGAACTTTTTATTTCTTCTCTACTAAAGGAACAAATCCAGTTTTTTCAGCATTATTGAATGTCAGCATGATGGTTCATTTAAGATAAGATCACTTTATTGTCCCTATACAATTTCTCACATTAAGAATTTGTCTTTCTACATACCCTAGCTTCCTCTCCATGAGACACACAGACAGGGAGAGAAGCTTGGGGTCAGAGCGCAGGGTCAGCCATTGTACAGCGCCCCTGGAGCAGTTGAGGTCAAGGGCCTTGCTCAGGGGCCCAACAGAGTAGGATTCCTCTGCCGGCCACGGGATTTGAACCGGCAACCTTCCAGCCCCAGGCACAGATCCTTAGTCACAGGGCCACCGCTCCACCAGACAGAAAGTCATGTCTTAGTGGCCATGTTTATGATATTCCCTTTCTCTTTCCTATTGTACTCTACAATCATCATCCAGGTGGATGCTGCACATTGGTGGTGGAGGGGAGTCCCCATTACCTGTAAAGCGCTTTGAGTGGAGTGTCCAGAAAAGCGCTATATAAGTGTAAGTTATTATTATTATAATTTGTTTTGGATTTTGAAAGAATGTACAGAATACCATGATAAAACTCATGCACTGCCTTTTTAGTCTCTCCTGGAATATTTTGCTTCTTCCATGATTAAAATAAGCTCAGAAATAGCCATCGGTCTTTCTCTGGATGTCAGCTGTGAAGTGCAGGTGAAAGGTACCTTCACCTACATCAAACCTTCAACATTTTTATATGTGGAAATCCATGCAGACATCAGGGGTGCCTGCTTGCTTTATACAGGCAAGATTACATTTATTTGTGAAAATACATCAAAAGCGTATTTCCTGTTCCTGTGCCTTGGAAAAACAAAGCAGGCAGGGATATTCAGATGCATTGTTTCAAACAAGCACATTTTATCTTACTATTTATAACCTGGGACTAAACACTTAACGTTTAGCAACGGAAGAGTCACAGGTAGCCAGCTCCAAACATTTACCTCAAGACAAACCCACTAAGCAGGGCGAATCTGCACCCTGGCCGAAGCTTCATGCTCTAACTGATTCAGATCTGATAGGGAGGTATCACATTACCCAGGCTTGTGGTAAGAGTCTGTGGTTTCAGACAACATTGCTCTTCTTAATTTAAACAGCTAAAAATAAAACTGAAAAAATGACAGAACACACAGTGACTATAAATAACTGTTCCGGTGTACAGTTATATTAGGAGGTAGCTCAGATGGAATGATAACGCCTAACCAGTTAATCTTAGAACTCTAATGCCATAAGCAGAAAATAACAAGCCTAAGAATAGCTGACCCACAGAATAAGTAGTAAGCTCGAATTGTGCACACAGTTCAAAGGATGCATTTATTTATAAAAAGTAAATCCACTTGTTTATGTCTTTCAAAAACAATTCCTGCACGGTTATTCAGCCAATTCACCATCATAAGTAGAGAACTGTTACAGTCAAGGGCAGTGTGCACTTTCTTTTCCTGAGCGTAATAATAGATCGACTCACTTCTTGTTCAAAGCTTATTCTTGCATGCAGTTGGGATTTTCTTAATGCAGGGTGGTAAAACGTCGTGCTAAAGCTATAAAGTACATGCTTTGGGGCATTTATAATATAACAGCTCAGATTCACAAATAGCCCCAAAAGGAAACAGATGTGTTGATACTGCTCAGAATTATTGACAAGTGCTTAAAAAACATACTCTGTGCAGCCACATCTCCACACAGCAGGTAAAACAAACATGATTTGAAAAACCTAACTCCCACTGCACTCTTTTACATTCCAATTTTGGCATCACAAATTGAATAAATGCACTTCAGTGGAGTGATAGATTGAGTAAAAGCTACCTTTATGATTAAACAGCAAACTTGAAAATAAGACAAGTGGAGTATGTGTCATGTTCCGATAATACAGCACATTGTATTGCTCACAGTGATCTCATCTACCATGAAAGACAAGCATTCAAATGCACACCTTTTGAACAACATTCTGAAGAGTAAAGACGTTCATTGATTTTGGATTTGTCACCACATATGGTTGAAATGGTCTGTTTGTATGGTGCTCCATTGTGTAGTGCTATATTGAAACATTGTGCACATCCTGTTGCTCTGTGGCAACAGTTTGCCACATGAAAGCCTACAAGTTTGCAGAGGGACGATTTAAAAGTGGTGAGCATCACACAAAACACAGACAGAATACAACTGTAAAAATTCACTAACACTACCCAAGATAAAAACGGTTTGTGGCATACTGGATGCCTCATAAATCCGTCTTTTGCCTCATTACAGTATTATCTCTGTCATTTCCTCTTGTTAAAACGTAAACTGTTGCAAACAAAAAATAATAAGGCAATCTCCTCCTTGCTTTACAGTATGAATTTTGAGCAAATTCAAACTTCTATTCAAAATAAACATACACTTATGTGCTAAATTCTTATTAGTACAACATATTGCACATTATCATTATTACAAATAAACAAGAAAGATATTCAAGAATAATTCTATACTCACTTAAAAAAAATACCCCAGGAGCAAATCCAAATTATAACTGTTTAATCCGAACAAGCAGCAAAACCTATAGCATTTCAGAGCTTTGCTCATAGTAGCCTGCAGAGTACAGTCCAATACATGCTGAGCACAGTAAAAAATATAAGCAAAAATACCTTGAAACAAAAAGGAGTGACTGATCATAGCCGCCTGCTTATCACAAGTAATGAGGTCTCTTCTGAATAGAAACAAGTCTCCCCGAACGAGACTGGTTACCTGAGCTGATCATGCTGTGCATTCTGTGCTGAGCCAAGAGCTGCTCTCGTCCAGAAACCCCATCTGAGGAGAAACACGATTCACTCTCGTAAATTGTCTGCAGCATATTCCAATCAGTCCTCACTTCTGCTACATGAAAGATTCATCACAGCCCTGCTCTTGGAGTTGCAATGGACTGTCCCTGGCCAAGCAGAGTCTCAGGGGAATTAGTCCTACTTTTTTCTATGGATACACAGTATGTTAATTACTTTCCTCTATCTTTCTCTTGCTCCCTCTGCATATACCAAAAGCGAAAAAGTCACAACGAAGACAGTGTTAAAAGAGCATTTTGCCAGTGTATTTTTAGCTCTCTGGATCCCCACCGGATGACAGCTGCCAAAAAAAAAAAAAAAGAAGAAAAATTCTCAGCTCTAACTCTAGGTCGATGAGAAAGAACTGCTATCTTTTTCTTTTCTTTTTTTAAAACTGAAATAGTGTTTCCAGGTACCCGAAGGCTTCTCTGAGGATTAAGTCAAGGCAGCTACAGCTCCGATAAGTGTGCTCTTCCCCTGTTTACTCTCTCCTTACTGAGAAGTTGGCTGAAGCAAGTGACAACTCATTTACATATGAATCAACAACAGCGTGGCCCACAGGAGACAAAAATAGAACAATGGCCAGCCTGAGCCAAAAATAGGTCAGGCATGGCAAGGGGATTGGAGGGGCATTAATGCATGTAAAAATATCACTGCAAACACAGCTGTCTGTCTCTGTCTTTCAGGCGGCCGGACTGCAGGCAGCACAGAGCCTGAAGCTGCGCTGTTCCCTTCTCTTCCTGCTGTTTTATCCAGGTCTTGGCAGTTTGGGAAATGAGAAAAGGGAAAAAGGATTCGGGGGGCATTCCTGTTTTGCAGTGCGAGGGCCATTCGGAGAGGTTGGAGAAGACTTTATAACGCACGCCTGTGTGGATTTGACAACAGTGCCGTGAAAACCACAGCTGTTTTGAATATTCCATTTTTTCTGTTCCTTAAAGATCATATACTGTATATAACTAGGAATCACAAGGACCCCTGGGATCAACCCAGAAGGAAAGCTAGCACTGCCCATTACACATGATGTTTAATTGAAGTTAGGTACTGTATAAGTAAATGCGGCTGAGAAAACACATTTAGTCAATTTTCCTTGTGCTATGAGAACACAAAGGTCCCAAAACACAAACATGGCAGACAAATACCAGATTCTGGTGGGTCAACACCCCTGTTCAGAGCTCCACAGTCCAAGATCTCCCCTTTTTAATAAATATTCAGAAATCACATCCCAAAAAGGTTGCACTGCATTTCACAATTTCACTATTTATTGTTAAATGATGGTAGGAACACCGTGTGATTGCTTCATGGGTGATTTTGCACTCTGATTTCCTTTACATTTTGAACTTGGCCAATATAAGGCACATGCCAGCTAATCAGAATAACAGTTTGTTTTGTAACATTGATGCTGTCTGACCCAATGAACCCTCCCTCTACTGCTGTCAACTCTGCGTAAGTCAGGTGTTGGTGACTCATCTGGTTTCGACCATGTCAGAAAACAAGCTGGCCAGGGATTCAATTTTTTAATCTTATTTCTTCACTCATTTTTCTGTACAATTCAACAATGGCGGTCGAAGAGGTAGCAATGCTCAGTAAGATCTGAATGTTTGGTTTTTTTGCCTATGAAGTCAATACAAAATCTTAGTAAGAGGCACCCAATACAAAGACTAACTCATAATCAAGTATCCTTGATTTGACAACAAACCTTCAGACACAAGATTGGACACTCATCCTTACTTTTTTAATCTAAATATCTAAATAATCTGGACATCCACAGAATCAATGCATTATAAATGCATACTGAGTGTTTAAGAAGAATAGGTTTTGGCTGCATCTGCTGGGTGTAGAGGCAGCCTCCTGGCCACAGGACCATGAGGCTCAACCCCCATCTGGAGAGAGGAGTGACCAAGGGGCAGCTGCAAAGGTGGAGGAGGGATCAATGTTCCTGAGTTATACACTGTATGCAGCGAAGGTGATTTAAAGCAGCTGGTCAGATTGGTTTTATCGGTCATTTTCCCTCCCAAACCTCAGTCAGGACCTTCCGTGATCACACACAACAGTTTCTATGTTTGCCGTGTGTCGTCTTTCTAAAGCTGTTGTATGGGTGGGATGCTCCGGTTTAAGACAGGGGCATTAAAAAAAAACATCTTCACGCTGAGTAACCTACAGCAGGGGAAGTCCGCATTGTGCTGAAATTTCCGCAGGCATAGCAGAGAGAATAATCCCACGGGGTCCTGTGTCTTTCCAAAACCCTGCCACAGTGTGTCTTCTTGTCGGTAGAAAACTTCTTTTCTGCAGAGGGCTGCCCGAGCCTGATTCCCTGCAGCAGGACATAACTGTAGCAGACAAATGGCTCCTTCATGCAAACTCGGTTAAAGGCAGCAAAGAAGTTGACAGCGACACCTTACAGCTCTACTGAGCTCTCCCCTTCAGGGCAGGGAATGCTGTGACAGTTTTTGCACAGGTGATGAGATCGACAGGCAGATGTTGTGGATACCAGTTCAGGTTAGTGCAGATGTTGACATTCGTTTCTCTGGTTTTAAAGCCCTTGAAATCACGTTCTTTTACAGGAAGAAGTTGCATGGTCACCTGAAACCATAACAGCAACTTAAGCCACACTGCAGACCATAGGGTTCAGAATTTGAAATTCTCATTCTAATTCTAATTGGTCTGTTAGAATTAATAAGGTCTAATTGTTTGAGAGTACTTTAAATGTTGATAACATTAGCAGACTTGTGGGGGAGTTGACTGTCTTTAATATCCTAAAGACTAGAGAATTTTGCAGTTTTTAGGTGAGTGATTTGTCACTAAGAATAACACCAGCAATGAGGAATGGATCTGATTTCTTAGTTACTATGTGAAGATTTTATAAGTCCAGTGAATCCACTAACTACTGTGCTGTTTGCAAGCTGAGAAGGAGTAAAACTGAGCTTGACCAGCAGTTTTAGCGCTCACTATAATCAACAACTAAAAATAGAAATGTGTTCTGCATCCAATGGGATCATTGCACTGGCAGGCCCTCTGACAGAGGATAGCTGGCAAGCCAATTTTCCACAATTTGTGAATTTTGGGAAAAACCTATATGCACATAGTCGGCCCCCTGAAATTCCCTGTAGAATATCCCCGATATCCATTCTAAGAAGATTCCCAGCAAGCTATTAAGAAGGTAATGACTGAACAACAGAAGGAAATACATCAGTCAATCAATTTCAGTATTAACATCATGAATGTTCAACAGTATATTTTAGTAAAGCAGATGATTGCCTTAAAAAGCAATAGTCAACTCTGCATCTTAAGAAACTACAATATTTTACAGTTTTACATAAATCACTCACCATTAACTGTGGAAATATTTTTCACTCCGAATGCTTTTTAAACCAAATACCCAGCAAGGGGCAGTGGTACATAATCTTATTTTAATTTATCTGTAAATTTAGAACTACAGGATGTGGTATCAAAGCATTATGTCGCCTCTAGTTTTATAAGAATCCCCTGTAGGTGGAAATAAACACGAGTTATATAAATTGTGAGCTTGAAAATTCAGACTAGGTCAGACAAATCTGAGAGAAACAGACGTGGGTGGAGAAACAAACCTGTATGAGGAGCTCGGTCCTGCAACACATTTCGCTTCTGCTTAAACTTTATGGTCACCAGACTGAAAAGAGAGACCCACTATATTTGTCCAACCACTGTACCTTTAAATTTTTTCTATCTTTCCACATAATATGACCTGTCCCCCAGCCACACGCAGAGAACCTGCATCGCTATTTTTAGCTCTTGTGCCTGTGGCTGCAGTGTGTCTGGTACAACACTGAGAGATATAGTGTACTGCGTGTCGCTCTCGCCAGAAAAACATCCTATTGTAAAAAAATATTGTTATGCCGTCACGAGAGAAGCGCAGCTAGCATACAACAAATAGTACACTTTTTAGCTCTTGCATAATTATATCTTTGTGTATGTGAATATACTGAACAGGTATATCTGTCTGCTTATTACAATAGGTGGTTTATTGAGCACACAGTATGTAGTGTAAATCCCATTATACTCCGATCGAGACCGAAGTATACGTATACAATATGTATAAATGCAGTGTTGTAACAAAAGTTACTTTGTCGATGCCTTTCAATATTTTTTTAGTATTTGGGTCCAGTCCCTTTGCAGTCTTTCTGTTCTTGACTAAAAAGAACAGAATGTAAGACTGTCAGTGTAGGACGTTGCTTTAATCATAGGAATATTTCTGGTTGCTCTTCACTGCATTGATAACAGAATTGCAATATCTTTTCATCCATTTTCTAACCGCTTTATCCAGGACAGGATCACAGGGGAGCCAGAGACTATCCCGGCAAGCAACAGGCACAAGGCAAGATATATACAGTACATGTAAATACCCTGGGTGGAAGACCAGTCCGTCGCAGGGAGTTTTCTATAACATGGTGATAATAATTGCACACAGTATTCTGAATGAGGTCTTCTCGGTGCATTGGACAAATCTGACAGTTTTTGTCCACTGGGAAAATCTGCTGAAAGCTTTGGAAATGTACTGCATACCTAATACAATGAATTTTAATGATTCTTAATTTAGTCCACAAACAGAAAGTGCTACAAGGTGTCTATAATGCTACACCTTTGTGTGATGAGGGGAGCTCTTTGACACCATACAGAAATCACCTGTAACCCATCCCAGGACTGTGCTACAGTGTCCCTATATCCAGTTTTTATAATACTGTATCTTATTGTTATCTCTGGGTGTTACATTTTATCTGCACTATAATTAGATCAATCTAAATCTAGACGTTCTTATTACATCCAGGCTTCCTTTCCGCAAAGCTGACAACTGACTGCATTTCCCCTTGGCTTGGCATGCCTTTCTAACAGTGTTGCCAGACACTGTCTTTTGTACTGGGCTATCAAACACGTATCTGTTAGTACTAGAAGACTGAGTCATGTGCTGGTTTAAAGCCTTTTTTAGATATCTTGTCTTTCCCTCTCTGTGAATGTTTC